TCATCCCGATTTCTCCCTTTCTCCATATAGGCTAACATTTGATTGTCCCAGCTCTCCGTAGTTCCCCTGTGGAGTGAGCACAGGGCAGCTGTTACGCACTTTTAGCGTTTCCTGTTGCTTGCGTGTTAGTAACGCCGTTACTTTAAACTCTGTTACTCCCATCACTGATGGAGACAGATGGTGGTCCCCCTCTTTGACAAACTAGCCAATAACCAATCCAACGTCATCTACCAGCAGGTCACAAGGATCTCCCTGAGTAATATCAACGCTACAGATCCTTGCACAATTATGCACATTATTGTGGTGATCCAATACCTTTTTTAGAGAAAAAAGGTTCCTTTGTACAGACCGATGTGCATTTACAGATCTAAATTAAGATTTACAGTTATTTACAGTGTCTGACAATATTTCCCTAATTTCTGTAGGTGTGTTAAGGTGTTGAATGGTGATATATGTAATTCAGTTTCTTCAAGAAAATATTCCACTCTTTTTTTTTCCTTTTCAGCTCCTTTTGTAAGCTAGGTCTTCATCGGTTCCTCATCTATTCATTCTTTGATAGTTAAGTTCCTACAGTTATCCTTTATATATATCCTTCACAAAGACAAAAAGCCTTCCATTCTTGCCATCCTCCTCGGTTTGGTCAGTAAAAAAGAAATTAATATATATATATATATATATGTATATTATTATTACTATTTATTTCTATTTTTTCGTGAGTGTAGGGAGGATGCATGGTTATCCATGTCTCTGTTAGCATAACTAAGCAGCTCTCTCAACGCCGGATAAGCTACACTAAATCATCCAGTTTATTATGAAAGGACTTCACATTTACTATGTTGATTAATCCGTTTACATGTCTGTAACCTCTCCTATAGAGGAGGCGCCTGATGCAAGTGTGTGCTGCGTTTCTTCCTTATTAGTTTGCATAAAATATTTGGTCACTCGGTGGGAGGCAGCCCGCTAATAGATCTCTGCTGCTAATAGTGGGAGTGTCAATGTTCACACAACCTCTAAACACAAATTATGAATTAACTAAAATAAAACAAGGTTTTAAAAAAAATGGTAAGCTTCACTGAGTGTACAACCATGGTTACGAAAAAAAACCAAGGACATATTAGGCATCCTTGGAAGTCATGTGATTGTCTTCTACATGCTGTATACATATTGAGAAAAATGTGAATTCTTTCCACAATTAGCTATTATTGATTTCATCAATGCTTTCCAGCTTTTTATTCATATAGATTTCCACAAAAATAAAAAACAATCATCTGGACTTGGTTTCCAAGTTTGATGATGTTTCGCTTCCCATCCAGGAAGCTCTTTCCATTCAAAATGTCAGAATTAGCGTTGAGTACGAAGCTTTATATGGTATTAGCCTATTCATATAGAAGATTAAAGCATTTTATAATTTTAAATTTACGTTCAAATTATCCAATGCTTTGTATGGATCTTTAAAACAAGAAATCCCAATATAGTACTTTGAATTATACATTTGTAATTTGACTTAATATGATACACATCAAGTTTTTTAAAGTAATGTGAATAATCCTGCTAATGTTTTTTACTGCATTTATTTAGCCAGCAAGCTTATTAATTGATGGTAGCGTAGTGATACATGGCCTGAATATATCTTGGATAAAGACACTAAAGTGTCAGCATCACTACTCTTTCTTCAATATAATGCAACAGGCATACACAGTGGAGAGGAAGCAGTCCAAGTGCTAAGCCCCACATTATTTTTTAATCCAAGTGATGCACATCTTAAGTCACATGTCAACAGGAGCCATGGATATGAGCGAGTTCTTTGTTTAATCATTCCATCTAGTCTCTCTGAAGATGAAAGAGAATTATACAATCAAAGGGAGACGGAACAGCTTTTTTGGAGGATGAGGTAATCCATTAGCCAGCATGTCTTTGAATTGATAAACAGAAAATGAAGAAAAAAATCTTTCAAGGATAAATGAAGTCTTAGGT